TATGTCAGACATCTAGAGTATCGTATATTTTCTGAAAGCTGACATTTGTGCCGACATTTTAAGACCACACTCATCGAGATCCGTGTCGTGTACGAATTTTAATTATATTTTGACTATGGAAGGAGAAAACGTGTATTTTCAGTGCATTTCGCTCTTTTATTTCCGAAAAGGCAAAAACGCGTCGCAAACTCAGAAGAAGATATGCGCCGTGTACGGAGAGAATGCCGTAAGCGAACGTGTGTGTCGGAAATGGTTTGCGAAATTTCGTTGCGGAGATTTTGATCTCAAAGATGCTCCTCGCTCTGGTCGGCCAGTCACCACTGATGTCGACCAAATCAAGGCTTTAATCGACTCCGACCGGCATTTGACGACTACAGAGATAGGATATAACCTCAACATTGACCACTCAACAGTTTCGAGACATTTACGGAAGCTTGGGATGGTAAACTAGCATGATGTTTGGGTACCGCACGAACTGAGCGACAAAAATTTAATGGACCGAATTTCGGCTTGCGATTCGCTGCTCAAACGCCATCAAAACGAACCATTTTTGAAGCGGATGATCACTGGCGATGAAAAATGGATTGTGTACAATAATGTCAACCGAAAAAGATCGTGGTCGAAGCGCGGAGAGACTGCTCAGACGGTCGCAAAGGCTGGATTACACCCGAAGAAGGTAATGCTCTGGTGGGATTGGAAGGGAATCGTTTATTATGAGCTGCTGCCACCCAACCAAACGATTGATTCGACCAAGTACTGCTCAGAACTAGACAAATTAAAGCGAGTAATCGATCAGCGGCCCGAATTGGCGAACAGAAAGGGCGTTGTGTTCCACCACGACAACGCCAGACCACACGTTTCTCTGATGACCCGGGAAAAATTATTGCGGCTTGGGTGGGATGTTTTGGTGCACCCACCGTATAGTCCGGACTTTGCACCTTCAGACTATCACTTATTCCGGGCGCTACAGAACAATTTGAATAATAAAAACTTTAGTTCCCTGGACATCCTCAAAAAGCACTTGGATGACTTTTTTGCCCAAAAATCTCAGGACTTCTATGACAGAGGGATAATGATGCTTTTGGAGAGATGACAGAAAGTTATTGAACAGAATGGAACATATTTGGTTGATTAAAATTGTTTTTTTCCCTAAAGATTTTGCGTTTGAAATTTACTTGATTTTCGGCACGAACTTATGCACAGACCCAATATTATAGTATGAAAATTAATTTTTTTCGTCCATTTATCATTAAAAATAGCAGTGTGAGAGTCCGGTCACTGGATGGCTGCTCTGCGAGAGGTGCTCCGGGGCTTGCAGCATAACGTCCACAAAATCCTAGAACAAAAAACCAAAAATTTCTTTATTTTTTATGAAAATAGCTAGAGAAATACGTAGGGAATTTTTAAAATGACGGTTGGTTTGGAAATGGCAAGCCTCTGAAAAAAAGTCAATTTTTTGACCAAAAATTGTCGTATATAATTGCTTATAAAAAGAAAAGTTTTAAACATATCGAAAAACGGCTACGTACTTCTGTGCAGAATTTAGTTGGTCCCAATTTACCGCAAACTTTAAATGATTTGGATGAAAATTGTTCGAGTTATGCTGCAAGTCAATTTGAAAAATGCTGTTCTGAGAAAAACGCGTTTAAAGTTTCAAGTAACATTTTTTTTAACATACTGCACAAATTTTTGAATTTTAACCCAACGTGCTTTAGTCTGCTATGTCTGCACCATAAAGCTGTCCTTCTAGGTTTAAATCTTCATCCTCTTTTTCTTTTCTGGCAGATTTTAATGATTGCCGGGCCTCCCTCGCAGCATCACTGAGTATGCGCTCTGCCAGTTTCACACGCCTCTCGTCAACTTCAATACAAAAATTGTAGCAGTTAGGCCCTATAATTAATCCCAGGACCTGCATTATCCTCATAATATTTGTCATCCCGTCATTAAAAATGCGAACTGCAATATCGCATGAAATATCGAGGATTTTCTTGCCGCTGGATGTACTTTTCGGAGCAATTGCCCAAACTGTTGAATTAAAGCTCTCGTTACTATTCTGTGTAAATGCACCTAAGCAACGGTTGAGTAAATTATCACTGCTCAATTCTTCATAAATTGGTGTAATGGCTGTAAAAACTTCTCCTGAAATAGGTGGCTTGTGCACGTATGTAGCTAAAGTATTCGAAGCTTTAGCTTTCTGCCACGTGCACCAAGAATCTGGACCGGCTGGGCAACGCTCATGTTGCGGCTTCTCGTTCGTTGAAATCTTGTGATACAATGTTGCCCAAATATCATTTCTCATATTTTCAATAGACGTGGAGTTTCTTCTGATTGCTAAGCCGTAGTATATACTTAGTTCGTCAATGAGTTTACCTGTCAGTTTACCTTTCCCACCTAATCCTTTTGATTTTTTTTCAGATTTCGAAGTCGAGTACCCATGTGTTTCTGTACATCATCAATACATTCTTTTTTTGAACGATTACATCATCATATGGATTTGCGTCCATAATGCCTTTGAACGTTTTGCTGTCACCGTCTCCGACGTAGTTCGCGTATTTAACATTATGGAGTTCTTCGGAGCGCTGGAACATTTTAAGTACACCGTCCACTTCCATTCTTCCAGCAGATCCCTCGTGATTCGATTGGCAATTTTCTTCATGTGTTTCTATCCACTCCTTGTATTCCGCAGTATCTTCTTTCTTTTTCCAATATTCGCAGGCCTTGCAGTATTTAGATTTTACCACAATATCCAGAACTTTACCAGTGTACCAACCGATTAATGACACAATACCAAACAAAGAGGAAAATCCCCGCTTTCTCCAGGACCCATCGCCGGATACAGTAATCTCGTTTCTCTGTCCCTTTTCAGCACACCTTTTTTTTTCTTCCTCGACCGCATTCGACATACTGCTTTCGGT